CAGCAACAGCGCAGCAGCCCGTATCCCTGTGCTGCGCTCTACTGTACCGCGCGGTGCCTTTCACGAGTGATGCTGATGCTTTTTTCTTTTTCCTCTCTTCTCTCTCTCTCTCCTTGCTACGCCACGCCGCGGCACGCCTTGCGCTGTCGGTCAGTCAGTCCGGGCGTAACAATCCGGGCCTGACGATGAGGCGCTGCTCACCGCCTGCTGGATCCATTCAGTGTACGGCGCGCAATTACCGACATCTGTGGTGGGCTAAAGGGGGTTGGGGGAGGGGACTCAGTCGTCTTATTGGTTATCAGCCCCAGCAGCGTCGAACATAGCGAGGGGGGGGGGAGACTTAGCGGGAGGATAAAAAGGAATTCCTAGAACGTCTTTGCGAGTGGGCCGTGCCGTGTGTGCCTGCTGCCCTTATGAATATCCAATTATGGGAGGAGGGAGGCTGCGCGCGCCCATTGGCCTGTGTGTGTGTGTGTGTGTGTGTGTGTGTGTGTGTGTGTGTGTGTGTGTGTGTGTGTGTGTGAGTGCGGCTAATGCTGTCTCAGATCAGAGCCGCGCTGTTGTTCACTGTCGCCCGCCCTTACATTATTCACGTGGCTATTTTCCATTACCCCCCTTCTCCGCCCGCACGCCCGCCCACGCCCTGCTGCTGGTGCCGCTGATGCCCGCGGGGCGGTTTGCCAGCAGCTACCCTGCCTGCCCCGCTGGCTGTGGTTGCTGCGCCGTGGCAGCGGGCGCGCAGTGCGTCCCCGTCGTCGGCGTGGTGCTGCTGACCGGCGGCGTCGTGAAGCCCATGAGCCTCGGGTGCCTGGTGCCGCGGCCGCCGCGGACCTCCTCGTGTGAGTGTGCCCGCCCCGCCCGTCCCCGCCGTGCTGCTCGCGTTTAGCTCGGCCTCGCAAGGTGAACTCCTCGCTCTCCGCCTCGCCTTCTCTGCCTGCCGCTCGCTTCCAGCTAATCGCTGCTGCGGGGCGCGGAAGCGCGGCCGCGAAAGTGATGGTCTCGACGTTGTTGCGTTGGCGCGCGTGCCGCGGTCCGGCTGGTCCGGCCGGCCGGCCGGCCACGGGCGGCTCTTTCCACGAAAACGGCGCGCCGCGCGCATTCACTCGGCGAGCGTGATATAAGGGGCATATCGTGCGGCCGATTTTCATCTTCCCGCGGCTTTTATAAGAATAATAACATTACCTCAACGCCGGCGGCACGGCTGGGCGGGGCGGGGCGCGCTCGGGCGGGGCGACGGCACCGGCGCGGCGGCGGCGTCCCGGCGTCTGTTTGCGGTGGAGCAGCGAGCACATCGTGCCGGCTCGCGGCGGGGCGGGGCGGGGCGCGGCGGGGCGTGGAGGTTATTTCCCGCGCGCGCGCGCTTGTCTGTCACTGCCTTCTCTAACAACGGATGTCGTCTCCGTACATGGCGGCCCCCTCTTCCATGTTGGTTCGCCTCGCTCGCCTAGCCTCCCCGTCGTCGTGGTCGTCCTGATGTTGGCCGCCTGCTCGCGCCGTGCGATCATGCTAGCGCCATGCGGAGGTGGTGTTGTTGTCTCCGCCCGCTAATGCTCACACCCGCGTGTCATAAGCCAAGGTCTTCCACCGACCCAAAATAAACAGGCGCCGCGTGCTGGGGCGGGGCGGGGCGAGGCGGGCGAGGCGGGGCGAGGCGGGGCGAGGAGGGGCGAGGTTGGCAACACTTGTGCCGTATGGACGATCTACGAGAGGCGCCCAGTTTGTCGTACACCCACCGCCCCTGCTCCGCCCCTTCCCCCTCTCTGTCTCTTTTTGCGTTGATAATAATGCGCTTCCTCATAATGTAGCTGAGAGAGAGAGGATTGAGGCTGGGCGCCCTCCCTCTCTCTCGGCCGTCTCGCTCGCTCACGCGTGCGTCTGCGGCCGGCGCACCCACACTCGCCCACGCCCAACGCGCACGTGAACACGCATGACGGAGAAAGCAGAGCTGTAACAATAATTATATTTGCTCCGCCTCCACCGCAGTGTATGTTCGTTTGTTCGTTCGCCTTTTTCTTATTCTACCTTTCGCGCGAAAGTTTAAAACGACAAGCAAATGCGGCGGTGGCGCGTGGTTCCGAAGCCGCTGTAGCTCGCCGGCCGGTCGGCTGCGCTTGTGCTGTGTGCCGCGGTGCGGTGTGTTGGTTCTCTTTGGGCCGCTGTGTGGTGCACTCCACGTGAGATTCGCATCGGCGGCTGGATCGCGTTACCGCCGCCAGAGGCCGCCAGGGGGACGCGGCAAGGTCTCTGTCTCCCTCCAGCTAAAGGCTGCGTGATCCCCGCATTTTAAAAGTAAACGGCTACACCGGGAAGGAAATAGTGCACTCTGCAATTCGTTCTATATTTTTGTTGTTTCCACCACGATAGCTTGCTTTGCTCGGCAAAACATGAGAGCGGATGTAAGGGCGGACCCTTTTTGCAGGCCGTTAGTTGAACTTTCCCTGCGAGCGAGTGAGTGAGTGCAATTCGAAGCCCCGCGCGTTTGTACATTACCCGTTGGGCGAACGCCATTGTCTCTCAAAGCGACTTCTTGTTTCCCTCTCTTGCGGCTCGCGCGCCCCACCCCACCCCGCCGGCAAGCTCGGCTTGTAATTCCACCCCGAAGCGGTTTCACCGCGGCGCTGTGCTGAGGGACGGGCGCTGTCATGTCGCGGGTCCTGCAAGTGCGTAACAGCGCCGTTGTTGCACACCTGCACCATGCTGCTCTGCTGCCCGGCAGGCCGCCGCCACACAAGTGCAGCTAAATTACTCCGAGCACCCCGTTGTCGTCGACGTCCTGGCCCCCGCCGCTGTCGTGTCGCGTCGTGATTTAGGCAACCGAGGCGGACGCCGACGACGACAACGACGCCGGCGGCGAGCTCGTAGCGAAGCTTGGCAACGCTTGCGGAGCTCGTCGTAACGAATGGCGCTTCTGATAGCCGATGGTCTCGTGTAAATAGAGCGCCCGCTTCGCCCGCCTGCTTCTCCTCTCTGTACGGTGCAGCGGCTGCCGAGGGGTCCTTCACTTTAAAAAAATCACTGTACACCCTTAGAAAAATCACGAAAAATCATAAATCAACGAAGTCAGAAAAAAGTCACGAAAAATCACAAAAAATCAAGAGAAAATCGCAAAAAAAATCAAGAAAAACAGGAAAATCGGTGTACGCTTCAATTTATAGTGAAGGAACCCCTCGGCGGCTGCTCGTCCCCAAAGCTAAAGCTCCCCGGGCGGGCGGTGCGGTCAGATCGTGTTCACCCGTAACAGTTGGCAGCCCTCGCTCGACCCCCGGTCGGTCGGCCCGTGTCGCTTTCTCCCCCCCCCCTTCCCCCCAGCGCTGCCAATTAGCGCCTAGACGATCATCGTTATCGCCCAAATTAAAGTGTTGATGGGCCCCGTGGTGGTGGAAATGAGAAAGGCAACAAGCCGCGTCCAATTACCTGTCGTAGTGCAACAGTCACACGTAAATGTGAAAGTGAATGTGTTTCTAATTTTGTTATTTTCTTGTTTCGTGTCCGCAGATCACAATGGCAGACTGGAGCCTGTGGCGAAGCAGACGCAGCAGAACGGGGTGTCCGCGGCGCCGCTGCCCGCCCGCCGCAACCTGACGGGCAGCCTGCGGCCCAGCCCCGCGGCCGCCCCGCAGGGACCCTCGCCGCAGGAGGTGGCCGCCGAGCTGCGGAAGAGGCTGCTGCCCGACCTGCGGCACAACGCGGCCGCCTTCGAGGCCATGGCCGTCCTCCTCGACTACACCACCACGAAGGTGAGCTAGCTCGCCGAGATGTGACTCGGGCCGTTCGTACCGGGTGACTCGGAGAAGTCGCAGGTGCGGGCGGGTTTGCATACCTATGGCGCCCCTTGCGTGCAGAGAGGGTAGGCAAACCTGCCCGCACCTCTGCGTCTTCTCTGAATCATTCGGTACGCGTGATGCGCGACGCGTCGGCTGCTCGGATTGAATTTGAGATGGGATTGGATGCTGTATGCGTGCGCACGCCCTACCCGGCCCGGCACGCCCGTGGACCGCATGTCCCACCGGGAACACGACGCCTGACTCTGGCTGACTCTCTCTGTGTATGGTTGCAGCTCGGAGCGTTCGCCGTGCCCGCGCTCCGCCGAGATCTGGAGAAGACCAAGACGAACATGGCCAGCACGGTCGCCCAGCTGGGTAAGTAGTTCGGGGGGGTCGAACGGAACGGACCGTCCAGGCCGGCGATACTCTGGCGGTGGCGGTACCCCACGCGCCGCGCCACCCGGAGAGGGGAGTATATCCTCGAAGTGCGGTTGGCTGACCTGAGGACTTCTCTAGCCTTCTAGCCTAGAGCTGTTCATAAGCGGCGGCCTGGACTCCCGCGCAGTAGATTCTCTAGGGGTTCTCATACCTGTCCCAAGCCTTGCTGTTCCTAACCATGCTCTTCTTGTCACGTGCAGAGGAGGTCCGCGAGCAGCGCCGCATCTTGGAGCGGGAGCGTGACGAGGAGCGCGAGGCCCGCGCCGAGCAGGAGGAGCGCGCCCGCGCCCTGGAGGCGGCCGCCCGCGAGCGCGAGGAGGAGCTGCAGCGGCGGCTGGCCGGCCACAGCGACGAGCTGGACACCCTGCGGACGGCGCACGCCGGCGAGGTGGCGACGCTGCGCGGCCAGATGGACGCCCGCGCCCTGGAGGCGGCGGACGCGGTGGCCGCGGCGACGCGCGGCCTCCGGGAGGAGTACGAGCTGGAGCTGGACCGGGTGACGCGGCGCCACGAGGAGACGCTCCGCGCCGCGCTCGGGGCGACCCGCGCCGAGGCGGAGCGCGAGGCGGCGCAGCTGGGCCAGGAGGCGATGCGGCGCGAGGCCGAGCTGGCCGCGCAGCTGGCGGCGACGGGCGCGGCGCACGAGGCGCTGCGGGAGCAGTCGCGCCGCGTCATGGACTCCATGAAGAGCGACAAGGACGCGCGCACGCAGGCGCTGGCGGCGCGCTGCCGGGAGCTGCAGGACGAGGTGGACTCGCTGCGCTCCGTGCTCGAGCTGCGCTGCGACGAGCTGCAGAAGTCGAGGCGCGAGAACGACGCGCTGCGGATAGCGGCCGACCAGCTGCCGGGCGCCGAGCAGCGCATCAGCACGCTCACCGCGCGCCTCGAGGACCTGCAGGTGCAGCTGGACCGCAAGGGCGAGCTGGAGGGCCGCCTGGTGCAGGAGAACAGCGAGCTGCACCAGTCGTTCAGCAAGGAGATCAAGGAGAAGCAGATGCTGTCGCTGCAGAACGAGCAGCTCCAGTTCAAGCTCAAGCAGAACACCGAGGTGGTGAACGCCCTGGCCGCCAACATGAGTGACTTCCACGACGTGTCGGGTGAGTTTGATTGTCCGTGATTTGACTCTTCTTTGATTCATAAGAAGGAACCACCAAAACTAAGATTGTGTCTCCTTGTCTTCCAGCTATCCTGAACGCTTCAATGAACGGCGTGAGTCTCCCAGGATCCGACAGGAGCCGAAGGTATGTTTCTGCCCTATGGAAAAAGTTGCATCGTTCTCCGCTTCATCTCGGTTTGTAACCATTCTTCCCGTTCCCTCTGTCTGCAGGTCCACCACCAAGTCGAACAACAACAACAACCGGGGCGTGGCGTCGCCGCCCGAGTCGCCGCGCGTCAAGGGTGTGGTGGAGAAGAGCGAGTCGGTGTCGTACATGCTGGAGATGGAGGCGGACTCGACGGACGACGTCGTGGCGCGCATCTACCGGCGCATGGCGAGCACCCCGATGGCGTCCCCCGCCCACGCCCCGCACGCGCCGCAGTCGCCGCACCCGCGCAGCGCGCCGCCCTCGTCTCGGCGCTCCAACCCGCTGGCGGCCCTGCAGGCCTCGCAGCAGCAGATGTGCCCCCTGGCGCAGTCCGCGTCGGCGACCACCATCTCGTCGCCGTCCCGGCCCACGCCCAAGCAGCGGACCATGTCGGCGACGCTGCGCGTCCGCTCGCGGTCCATCTCCTCCGACTCTGGCGAGTGCCTGTCCTCGGGCAACTGGAGTCCCCCGGCGTCGCTGCCGCCCTCTCAGCAGCAACAGCAGAGGCTGCAGAGGCGCTCCCCGGACGTGGTCGACGAGGGCTTGCTCGCGCCGAGCTCGGGGATAGGCTACGACTGCAGCGACATCGAGGACTTCTCGTCGTCCAAGTCGTCGTCCATGAGCTGCAGCTCGGAGAGCTCGGAGCTGGGTGGCGCCAAGGAGCACGACCAGCACGTGGGTGAAGAGGAAGAGGACGACGATGACGCCGAGCAGCCCATGTTCCAGCACCAGCAGGACCTCATGACGGCGTCGTGCGGCAGTGTGACGCTCCCCAAGGACGCCGGCGGCGAGGCCATGATCTGCTCCGAGGAGATGAACGAGGACGAGGTGTCCACCAACGGGCTGCACTCGTCCTGCGAGGAGGACGCGAGCTGCTCGGAGGACGACGACAGTCGCGGTGCTGGTGTTGGTGGTGCGGGCAGGGCCCGGGCGGGCCTCGCGGGGCTGCCCAGGCTGTCGCTGCCCATGACGCCCACGGCGGGCTGCGGGCAGTCCGCCATCAACACGCCCATGGACTCGAGCTGGTCCGAGGACATGGAGCTGCCCGTGTCGCTGTCCGAGACCACCTGAGCGGGAGGAGTCAGGCCGCGGGGTGGGGGAAGTGAAGGGGGAGGGGAGTCTGAGACTCAGTGACTGAACAAGAGGAAGACGGAGGAAGGACGGGTAAAACTGTTAGCGCCGAGCGCCTGCCATGGAAACGTATCTGACTGTTTTGTGCTGTCGCCAAAGTCGAGCGTATCAATTTTTTGCGCTGTTTTGCCATCTTCCCCCTCTGCAATGCTTTGATTACCTGAACTGACTATTTTATTGCGAGTGAAATGTGTTGTCTCGCGTATATTGTAGGCGCCGCATCTTTTTGCAGTTGTTGGCCGCAGTATAAGTGAAGGCTTGATTCTAGTCGAAAAATCCAAAGGGAGTCCAGTACAACTTTTTATAGCGGAAGGGATTACCTCTCCGTTGCCATGTAAAGCGCGAGTGGAGGTCCAGTTGGCGCTCGTTTTTGCGCTTCATGTCGTCATTACATTGGGTGCCAGATGGATCGCTACCACAGACTGGACTGTTTAAAGCGCTATGTCATAACATATGGTGAATGGTACTGAGGCTGTTATTTGTAAATAGGCATTGTCATGGTGGGTTCCTCAGTATTAATGTCCCTTTTATATTAATCTATCTGTTATTACCATATTTGTCTCAAAGATGAATATTATCCCTTTTGTATTTTACTTTTGATTTTAGTACTGAAAGTAATTTTACATGCTATGTTGTGTATTGAAAATTGTAAGTTTTAGAAACATGTTTTGTTTTTAAATGAAAATATTGTTTCAAAATCCAAGTCACCAAATAAAACGTTTCATTGAGCTTTCATTGGTTTTAATTGTTGACTTGGACTCTGTTCTGAATTTTTTGAATGTTATTTGTCATTTGCGGTTGAATCTTATGTACATTTGTATTTGTATGTAGAAAGGTTGCTGTAAATTTGAAGTGAATTGATAATGGCTGTGGAATTGTTTCTGCATGCAGATGTGTAAGGAATTTTATTAGATGCTAACTTTTTAGATTGTATATATAGATGTGAATGTAGGTCTGGAGTTGTTGGCTTTCACAGGACAACTGCTGCTGTTAAATCTTTACTATTTCTTTGCATTATGCATTTAATGTCTTACTGCTACTCTTAAAACATTGCGTTACTGAATTGTTTGAGTTCATTTACTGATACTTGTTCTCACATCATATGAAGTGTAAGGTTTTTATTTACCTAATTTCAACCTTAAATATTTTAAAATGATCTTTATGATTTTCTTAGATCCATCGGCTTGCATAGCTAATCCAGTTGCCTTTATTAAAAGTTTTTCAAGTTTACTGCCTGCACAAGTGGATCTCCATTTTTGAATTATCTGAAAAGGTGGTGTAGTAAAAATGCTCTAGATTTCTCATTCTTTACCGTAGTAATGTGTAGAATAGCGTTGCAGAAGCGCTTCTCATCCGACATGTGAAATTTGTTTGCAATTGCCATATTTATTCTGTTAATGTAAATACTTGTGTCCTCTTCCATTATGTTGATCCTATTAAAAGAATTTATCATCAATCTGTGCTTTCCACTCTCGAACTCCCTTTTCCCTCCACTTCTAGCGGCACAGATCGTGTTGAGTTGAGTTTTGGAAGCGCAGTCCCGATACGTTGTTGTCGGCGGACACTTCGGTCACCCCGTCCCCTTCACCCTCCCCTCTCTCGGTCGTAAAGCCCGTTTATCGCCTACCGCTGCGCACCGCCGCGCCGCTGGCGGCGGAACTCTCCTCGTGCCCCGGATGCCTGCCTGTCCGGCTGTCGAATACAAGTTTGGCGCAAAATCGTTCTTCAGAAGTTGATTTTTTCCCTCCTCTGTCCGCGCGCCTTGGTGCGCGCCGCCGCGCCGGGCCGGAGCGGGCGCGATGCTCCCCTCTCCCCCGCCAGTGATAACAAAGGCGGTGTAACAGCCAGGCGCGCCCGCTTTAAAATTTATCCTATCAATGTTTCATTGAAACCCCAACTGCCGCTGTGGCGAGCGATAAAGTACAAACCGTATGTCGCGCGATTGTCGCCTTCGCAGCAGATTTTTGTTTTAAACCACCCGCTCTGCTGTGCGCTCCCCGTTTTGTTCGGGGCGGTCATGCCTTGCGCGCGCATACACACGCGCACACACACACATGCACAGCCATGCACACACATACGCACACACACAGCCTTACACGCACTCACTCACAGCCACACACACAGATCACATAAAAACCCTACACAGTCCGATGGGCTACGGCGGCAATGCAAACAAATAAAGAGTAAAAAAGTGTGTAATTGAATATGGCATGTTTCTCTGTGGCGCTTCCATCATTGGATGTGACAGCTCAATCGGGGTGCCAGCGCCACGCCCG